AACGAAGCCCACAGGTGGAATTGACAGGACCCCTGTCAGCCGTAGAGCGTGAGGTTGGGAGTTCAAATCCCCCCACTGGGCCACCCTGACAGGGGGTGGACTTGATGACCTCGTGTGGTCCCTTCCAACTCCGCAGTTCTAAGCTGATTATGATGATTTAACAGGAGCTTGTGCAGCGCTGTGTTCGGAGGGACATGTCAACCCTTAGAATGGAGACGGAGGACATGCCAAAAGCTAGGAAATGGGGTGGGTCCCATTTCTTTCCCAAAGAATGCGCTGCCCTAGACCGTATCTGGAACTCCCTCTTTCTAGGAAATTTTAAGCCAACATCTGGGAACAGAGGAGCGGGCCCTTGTGATGTCCACTAGTATGGTGGTGGCAGGGTGGGGGTAGGGGTGGAGCTGTCAGGAGGGCGACAGAGCTCCTTTCAGGCAATCCAGGTCCACTGGCCCAGATTGCAGGGAAAAGTTCAGACTAAAACCCGGAATGGCCGCACTACCAGCACCAGCAGCAGCAGCACCATGAGGGTTACCAGCAATGCACAGGCTCACCCCGAGATCCTTTCCTCTTCACTCTGGACTGAGAAGTTCCCAAAGAGCAGAGATTTGAGCCCCCGAACCACCATCAAAAACCTACAATCTAGGGCTGAATAAAGGGAGATGGTGGAATGCAGGTCTCAGGAGTGGATGAGATCCTGGTTCTAATCCCCAAATCAGTCACATATCCCCACTTTGCCCAGTTTCACACCACTCGTTTTTCTCAGTCAGGTCTATCCTGCACGGACATCGTGAGGATCAAAATCTACCCTGCCGGGGGGGGGGCCCTAATGCAGTAGGATCCCTATATCAGTGGGGGATGAGTTCCCAGCTCTCCTGTGGATGCTGAAAAACACGGACTATAGTGAACTCTGTTTTAAAAAGCGAATTTTATATACAGTATACTGTAGCATGGTCTCTGGCTCCCTCTAGCGACCAGTTCTGGTAAGGACATCACAATAATATCTTTCTATAGAGAAAGCTTATATAGCATGGCCTCTGGCTCTCTCGAGTGGCCAGTTCTGGTAACTTCAACTTCAGAAAGATGATTGTATACACTGTATATTGGGGATTTTTTCTTTTAATAAATTTTTAATATTTTCAGACTGTGGATAAATGACCAGTGGATACTGGTCCTGTGGATAAGGGGATTCTACTGTAGACTGCTAGAAGCAGCTATTGGGGGGGAATCCCTTTTTGGACTCCAGAATCCCTTCCCCAACCAGGTCAGTTGTGGGAAATCCAAGAATTATAATAATCAGGTTAGAAGAGTCCAGGCCCTGTCAGGGAGGCCCAGTGGGGGGCTTGAACCCTTGGGGCTCTCCAGCAGTTTGTCCAAAATATGTAGCATTTGCCTTTTCCCCATACACGTGGGGGGGGGGGAGACTTCCCAGCCACCCCCATCCATTCAGCCCCCTTTCTCTCCGTCTTCCTTCCCACCCCCAACCCCCCTCTTCTGAGATTAATTGCTATTCCCGTCAGATCCCGGTTGCTAATGAACCCGGCTGCGAGAAAAGAATCCCCCATTCATGCCTTAATGACTTTGTTGCAGCTGGGGTCTCTGGCGGTGGAGAAATGGGGAGGGGGATTAAAATATACATGATACTTTCTCTCAACACCCCCCTCCCCTTCTACCAGTCTCCTCCAGTACCTCGAACTGGAGAAAAAAAGCCCACCTGGTACAGGGGCAGGAATCGGAGCAAAAACAACAGCGTCATTATAAACCCATCATAACCCAGCCAATTCCCTCTAAATTCGATTTTCTTCTACAGAAGAGATCAGAAAAATTACAGCTGTTAAAAACATCCATCAGCTTCTTTATCTTTTCTTTTAAGGAGCAAGGGGAGAAGACGGATCTGGGCACCCGCCAGAATCGCTAATCCAATCGGAGCCATTCCGGACCAGCTTGGGAAAGGTCCGAATGGAAATTCAGTTCTGGGGTACATTTACAACCGAATTTAGTTCTACCGATTGTACTGACCGGCAAGCGCCATCTCTTTTCAGAGAGCCCCAGGACATTCTAGGGTTTGCCTCCTCCGTCACTGTATCTTCACAACGGCCCTGCAAGGCCAAGAAAGCAAATGACTGGACCCCAAAAATCATCCAATGAGTTTGAGTGAGGACTTGAACCCAGATCTCACCCTTTCTGGCCCAGCCCTTGAATCAACTGCATGGACACTGGATCTTTTCACGCTTCCAGAGCTGTCAACTTGTGGTCTATAATCTCTAAGTGGTTCCCACTAGGAGTAAATAGAAAAGCAATATATATTTTTTTAAAGAGAGCCTAAAACACTTCTAAAGTGATGAATAATTCACTTTAGACAAACTCACCAATCAATGCAGTGAAAATAATTATCGGGGGAGGGGAGACCACAAATTGTTCAAGTCGGTCTCCATGGGTTTGGTCCTTCCTTTTGACCTTCGGCTTGCTTCTTCGTCCTCCTCACTCACTCTTTAATCCTGACTCCTGGTTTGTCCTTCAGGGTTGGCTCACCCCTCAACTCTGCCTCCTGGTTTTCATTTGGGTCTGGGTTCTGGTTTGTTTCTTAAGCTTTCCACCAATCCCATTGCTTCTGATGGTTGGTTGACGTCACAGTTCTGGGCCAGTAGGTCCTCAACATCATCTGGCTGGCTTTCAAAGCCTACTTCTCAACTCAACCTCCCAGGAAACCTGGTTTTTAATTCCTTTCTGTCCTGACTTCTGGCTCGCCTCCTGGGACTCCATTCACTCCATTCCATCTCGCTCCCCATCACCCAGTCCTGAACAAGGACCTCCCGAGGAGGCCAGCTTGCTACAAGCGGGGTAGGTCTTCTACGGCAGTGGCTTCCAACCTTGAGATCTCCAGATCTCCCAGAAGCCTTCGACACCAACAGGGCTGGCTAGAATTTCTGGGAGTTGCCGTCCAAAAACCACCCAAGGGCCCAAGGTTGTGAAACATCGGGAAGGTCCATTCTGAAGTGCATGTGTGTGGTAGGGGAACATCTCCTAATTTCCTTAAGGGTGTCATCAAAGAATGGTTTGGATTAAAACATTTCCTGTTGAGAGCAGGTAAATTTGTCCTTCCAACCCTCTAAACCATCATCAGATCCATCCATCGATCCATTGATCCTTCCTTCCTTCCTTCTTTCCTTCCTTCCATTCATCCATCCTCAGCTCCTTCCTTCCTTCCTTCCTTCCTTCCTTCCTTCCTTCCTTCCTTCCTTCCATCCATCATCAGCGCCTTCCCTCCTTCCTTCCTCTCCGTGACAAGGGGCTGGGCTGGAGATTGTTTAGCTTGTGTTTCTGGGCCAAGACCTCGATGGTTGGCTCTTGGAGGTACAATTTATTTTTCTTCTGTCCCACCTACCCCCCTTTCTGAAAAAGACAGCCTTACCAGGAGGTTGCCCCATGGGGATAACTCAGACTGGGGTTCGAATCTTGGCTGATCTGAAATGCATTCTGCACATGCCCAGGGGCTCCAATTTTCCAGCCTCGTTTACCTAGCAGGGAGGTTGTGCAGATAAAAACCTTGTGGCTGATCTTCCCAGAATATTCCAGCCAGGTCCGTCTGCCGGCGAATTCTCACCTACTTTTGTAGTCATTTCCCGAAGCGCACCCTAGACAGAAAGGCCGGCTCAGGAATGATCATCAGATACATTGTAAGTCAAATGCAAAGAACATGGATGAGGCAGAAGAGCCAGAAATATCAATTAAATAGGACGCTCATATCCGTGGGGTATCAGTTCAATGCCTCTCCCCGCAGATACCGAAAAATGTGGATAGCAAAGAACAATGTTATAATAACTAATAATATACACACCATGGTCTCTTGTTTCTTCTTGTGGCCAGTTCTGGGAACTTAGTCATTATATGGGAGGTTCTTTTAATATTTTTAATATTTCCAGACTGGGTAAGTGATATTGATCTACCAGATCAGGGTCGTGCTACTGTACATTTAAGTCATTAAATTTCAGCTGGCTAAGAACAGGTTCCACCGGGCTTCTAAAAACTTTCCATTTTTAAAAGGGTTTTGATTTGTCCGTTAGAATTCATTGACCCACCAAGGAGACGGGGCAGACTCTAAAACTTTGTGGCCTTCCGCTGCTTGGACTAACAATCCCATCAGCCCCAGCTGGCATCATTGATGATATCGCTCAGGGGTTTAGGGCTCGGGCTAAAGTTTGGGAGTTTGAATCCCCCACCCTTCCTCCTCAACTGTGTCTGGACTAGATGATCCCTCCCAGCGATGCCGTTCTAAGAGGATGATAATGATGTTTACATATTCTGTGTGCAAGGAGAAAACGGGAAAGTGGGGAGAGAGACACAGGGGGGATCTGCTCACTGAGTTCCCATGACCGCCATGGAATGTTCACAAACATTCTAGCTAATGAGGAGGAAGGCGGTTGCGAAAAGGAGGGGTATGGACAAAAATGATGATGATATATCATCACATATCGCCAATATATCACCATTGGCTGCCTCAGGCGCCATTTGTGGTGGAAACATGAGATCTACATGTTCTTTAAAAACCCAATAAATCAACCCTCATTCCTTGTTTTCCCTCCACTTCCAACATGATTCTTCTTCTCATTCTCAACAAATAGCTCACGACCAAAAAGTCTGTCTTAATGGAACGTTGTTATAAAACCTTTGAGAAAAGGAAAAAACGACACAGAGTCTTCTCTCTGAGTGCCAAATGGGCATCCAGAACAGAGTTGAGTCAGCTGTTCCTGAAGATGATGCTGATTTGAAGAAAAAAGGAGAAAAACCAGGAGAGAATAAAGTGAGAAATGTTTATGGAAGGGCTCAGAAGGAAAGAATCACACATTTCCCACAGTATGTGGTATTATTTGATAACATACTAATTGTGTGTGTGTGTATGTTGTTATTGTTGTTGTTTAGCTGCTGGTTTTGTATATTGTATGTTTTTCTTTTTTCTTAAAGTCCAACACTGTCTGGAATCCATTTCGATAAAGGGTGGCATTAAAATATTTATTTCTTTACACTGTTTTGACCCCGCCTTCTTCCTTTAACAAGGACCCGAGGCAGCCGTGTCATGAAAAGGCAATACAGTATTTAAAAGCTAAGAACAGGCATACAAATATTTTTTAAAAATCAATGCATTTTTGTAAAGGAATGATTCAAAACTCTGAGCAACAGACAGACGCCTTCCGTTTTTCGCTGCACTGCTTTTCACCCCAAAATGTGAAATCTGGTGCAACGTGTGTGTCTTCTCGTAAGTAAGTCTGACCGCACGCAAGACCCCCATCTCCTCTTGAGATAGATACGGGCGGTGTTCTTGGAATGGAAACCTGGACATGTTTATTCCCAACTAGAAAGCTGAATGGACTTTATTCCTGCAAGAACGGTTTATAAGGGTGGGATCTCAAGAGTCCAGAATCGACCTCCTTGAAAATCATTTTCTTTTCAAGCAATTCATTATGAGAACCGAACCTCTTTTTTCTTCTTCGTTATTTTCAACCGATGTGTCAAGATTGGCCTTTGACAGCCAAATACTATGTGCTGTTGTTTGTCCATTGAGAAATACTACATACCATTGCATGCAGCTTGTTGCAGCCGGTTGCCAATAAAGACAACTCCAATGAGGACGTGTAGACAAGCGGGGGTCAACTTACCTCACAAAACCACGCCGGCTAAAATGCTGTGCACATTATTAAAATGGGGCAGATGTGGCTGACTGGGAGCACCCTTCTTTTGTCCAGCTGCCAGCTTCTGCTCTTATCTCTGACTGGGAGTTTTGATCCTGAACTTTAAAATCCTTATCTCGGATCTGATAAGTGCTCTCCCATCCCAGGAAGCTTTTTCACGGAAAATGAGGCTCGGCAGGCAAACCTAGAATGAGTTTTCAAGGAGCAGGAGGTCTAATGAGCAGCACGAGAAGTTTTTAATTAAAGGCACAAGAGCCCCCACCTCCTTTTGCAACCACCACAGTTAGCTGTTAATTTTCTAGACATTTTCCAAAGCCCTCTTCGTTGTCTCCACCAACATGGGCCTTCCACACCTTTATTTTCCAACGTTAAGCCTCCCTAGACGGTTCACCCTTTGGCTGAGCCAAAGGGATGTCACGGAATGTCCAGAAACATTTCCAACCCTTCCTCATGGGCAACTGCTTCAGACTTTGGTCTTTTCCATCCTGTGCAGGAAGAACCCTCACAAACCCTTAGAAGCCCAGAGTGGTTGGAAAGTAACACCATTTTATTAAACTCTCTGGAATCGGACAGCAAAAAAGAAACACACAGGATCTGCCCAGGATGGGAGAGAACGAGAGATAGATGGAAAGGAGCACAGCAGGGGTGGGGAACCTTAGGCCCGTGGGCAGAATCCGGCCCTCTTGGCTTCCCCAGATAGCTGTGCCTTGTCCTTTAGTGGTTTTCTAGCTGGCGTACCGATTCCCTTTTTCTTGTATCCTAAATGGTTCTCTCGGTTCTCGTGGCTGGCGGTCAAGGCTTTAAGCTCTAAGTATGTGACTGAATGGGGCTCTCGGGTTAAAAGACCTTCTCTCCTCTTGGGTTTCCAGCATCCAAGGAACTGAGCCGGCATGGGGTCGGGGCCAGATCTGGTTCCGACGGCACACTCTAATGCTAAAGAAGTCTTTGGCAACCTGGCAAGGTTGCCAGCTTACCAGGGAAAATAGGATCGTAGCTGCCCTTCTTTGAAGATCGGTCAGGTCAATATTTGGGGTTTTCCCACAGTGGTATTGAGGCTTAAAATGGTGCCCCTCCAGGTAATGCTGGACTCCATGTCCCATCAGTCCCTGACCACATGCACTGCCAGTGGTTGGGGACGATAAGTACTGTTGTTCAACATCTGCAGGGCCGCACCTCTGTGAAAAATTGAACCAAGCCCCCCCAAAAAGAAGAAAAAAAACAGACAGGTAGCCACCGTGAAAATGGATCTGAATCCGGCTCCTTGGCCCCGTGTGGAGTCAGCTTGGGGACTCCTTTAGAACCGACTCCCCAAATGCTCCTGGTTTGGACTACACTTCCCAGTCACCAGGCCAGCTGATCGATGGTGGGAACTCCAGACTCAGAGAGCAACTGGTGCAAATGGTGATGCTGGTCAGAGCATGCTGGGATTTGTAGTCCACACACTCATGTAAAATTTTCCAGCCCATGGTTGCACAGCTCCAACCAGCTATACACACACAGACACACACACACAAACACAGGTATTTAAAGCTCGTGAGCCCCTTTAAAGCATACGTCCTTCCCTCCCTCATCCCTGGACTTTGCCGAAGGTAAAGGTATAAATCCCAAAATACAAAATATCTCGTGCATTCATGAAGGGGACCGTAGATATAATGGAAATAGTCCTTTTTTTAAAAAAAAAGTCAGAATATTAATACGGAAAAAAAATCTCACTGATCTTCGCTGGGAAAGTCCAGAGACCACGTACAAGTTCTAGCCGAGGAAGATGTCAGAAGAGAACAGAAGAGGAGAGTTGGAGCCCCCAGCCCTCAAAAGGACCACCAGCTCCGAGTTCAAGTCCCCATCCGGTAGCTGTAATGGTTCTGCTCCGGTTCACTTAGTGGGAGAGGGATACTGGCCTTGTGGCCCACCGCGTCCTTCTCCGCGCACGGCAGCGGAGGGCGCTCCTTGAATAAGTCTGAGACGTAACGGATCTGGAAGAAATGGGAGCCGAAGTCAAGAAAAGAATGGCTGCAAAACTCCTTGGGGTAGCGGGAGCCAGAGGTTGGGAGTTCGAATCCCCCGCGGTGACTCCTTGACAGGGGCTGGACTGGATGATCCTTAGAGGTACCTTCCAGCTCTGCCATTCTAAGATGGTGATGATGATGTGTTAAGACTTGGCACAACAATACTGGGATGGGAACCAAGGAGGGGTAGGGAGCACTTTCAGAGAAAGTCTGGTCTGGACTGAATTTGAACTCAGCTCTCGCGAGAGTATTCTGGGTCACCCGTCGGCCCCACCCACTTACCACAAGGATAGCGACCAGCGCCCCCTGGAGGAGGCCCACCAGCACGTCGCTCCAGTGGTGCTTGTAGTCTGACACCCGGCTGTAGCCTACGTAGATGGCGAAGAAGAGGAGGAAGAACTGGATCGTCGGGCGCAGCAGCCGGGCGGCCCTCCCTACCAGGCGAGCCTGGATGTACAGCTGGAATGAAAGGAAGGAAGGCAGGGTGGAAAGAAAGAGATGAGAACCGAGACTCTGAAATGGAGCTGAATTCGAATCTCCCATGGACTGATACCAAGTCAGATGTTTATCCATCTAAGTGAATACAGATTGCTCTGATTGGCAGCCTTTTTAAGGGAAATCAGGAGAGAACAGCCTTTCTCGTCTCCTGTAACCCAATCTTTTTATACTAAAGACACCACAGATTAAATCTGGGGCTTTCCGATTACACAGATTTCCCCCACCATGATCCAATCCATCTCCAAAAGCGAAAGCAAGATTCTCATCCTCGTGATATAAAACCAAGATAAAGGGCGGGCCAGGCAGCTCCGCGAGACAGATCCATATTATTTTATCAGAGCGTCGTCAGCTTTTCTCTTTCTCGCTGGGCCTCCGAACGACTTTAAAGAGAGAGAGAATGAACTTACCGCTAGGAACATCATGCAGTACATTCCAAACGAGGAATGGCCAGAATAGAAAGATAACCTGGAAAAGGCATGAGGAAAAAAGAAAGATAATTAATTCATTGGCCAGAATCTAAGCCTCCACTCATGGATGCTGAAAAACACCGGGTGCTATTTTAATAGCAAACACAGCATATACTGTAACATGGTCTCTCGCTCCATCTAGTGGCCATTTCTGGTCACGACACCATGGAAATCTATTTCTGTAGCAAACACTACATATACTGTACCATGGTCTTTGGCTTCATCATTAAAAATACATAGGGGGGATTTTTCTTTTAATATTTTTAATATTTTTCTGACTGTGGATAAGTGAATCAGTGGATACTGATCCTGCAGACAATGGGGTCCTACTGTAAATATGAGAAAAAGTGGCTCAAAATGTGTTCCGTTTTGTCTTTTGAGCTTCCTTCCAGCTTCTAACACACGGGGAACAACAGAAAGTGGGGGGAGAGGGAAATGTCACTTCTTCATAAATGCAAACCACAGAACCATGGCATCAAAAGGGATCCTTAGAGGTCATTCAGCCTACCCCCCCCCACATGAAACAAAGGGTCTTGCATTGCAGAATGCAGCTAGCATTCTTGGTGGTTGCAAATCAATCCCAAATCTATTCCTAATGGGTGAGCAAAAGGTGATCAGCCAGGAACCCACTGCTATTTGCACGGCTTTATTCTTCTTTCACACTGAGAAGGTCCTGGATTCAGGCCTCTCCATCCGTGTGGCAGGCCGGCAGAACCGACCCCCTGGTTTTCGGCTCTTTCCCATCCTCACCTGGACTCGGTGACGTTCTTGGCGTTTCCTCGGCACAGCTCTTCCAACTGGACGTAAGTGGAGCAGTTGACTTTGGACCAATCGGGGTCACAAACGGCCAGGAAGTTGGGCCGCAGGCGCCCAATCATGTATTTGGCCAGGTCTGTCAGCGACTGGCTGACGGCGGCCCCAAAAAGGAAGGTCCCCACGACCTTGTAGAGGGCAGCCAGGTAATTGTTGAACTCCGACCGCGAGTAGAGCCGCTTCTTGTAGACCAGGTAGGCCTCTCCCGCCGAAATCTACAAATAAAGAAAGAATTCGCACGTATAAGCTAGGACAGGTTTTAAGATCTTTGGTGGACGGCTCGTAAACCCTTTATCTCCGGCCCGCTATCTATACGGGGTTGCCTGGTCAGAGCCTTGCTAGGGGTGGCTCCCTGCTTTCGTTTGTTTTTTTTGTTTTCCACTTACAATGATTACGGTGCAGGGAATGGTGACGCCAGCCATCAATCCGTGCGTGATGGTGTCCGGCTTGAACGGGTAACGGATGGAGTTGTCATTGCAGTAAAAACCCCGTTTGTAGGGGGAGTTCACCAGCGTCAGGACGAGGAACGGCAGAGAAGCTGCAACGAAAAAGAAACGGATCCAGGAAAACGCTTCTCTTCGACCCATACTAATTTCACTGTCAATCCTTACATCCATCCCGGCTGAATCCCATCAGAATCATTTCCACGGTACTAGCCAGTGCACTTTTATTTATTTAATGAAGGAAATCAAAATGTTTTTATCCCGCCTTTCTCCCAAAAAGGACCCGAGGCGGCTTACATCATTAAAAGGATGGTCTTTAATTTATTTATTTATTTATTTATTTATTGGAGTTATATACCGCCCCATAGCGCTACAAGCACTCTCCGGGCGGTTTACAATTTTTTAATTATACAGGCTACACATTGCCCCCCCCAGCAAGCTGGGTACTCATTTTACCGACCTCGGAAGGATGGAAGGCTGAGTCAACCTAAAACAAAGCTAAAAACAAGAAGCATACAAATCTTTTCAAAAAAGGAATGAAGCAAGTGTCATATTAAAAACGGCAAATAAAATCAATACTAAAAACACATTTGAAAGTAACACTCTCATTTGATTTTCCCCCCAAACACGGCAATGAAAATGGCAAACGGCAAGGGCCACCATGTGGGGTCAGGGACTCCCACAGAGAAAGCCGAGTGAAACTCCTATGCAGGCCGGTAGAACTTCACGGCTGATCATTTAAATCAATACTAAAAACACATTTGAAAGTAACACTCTCATTTGATTTTCCCCCCAAACACGGCAATGAAAATGGCAAACGGCAAGGGCCACCATGTGGGGTCAGGGACTCCCACAGAGAAAGCCGAGTGAAACGCCTATGCAGGTCGGTAGATTTTTGAGTGAAAGAGGAAGGGACTTCTTATTTTAACCATGGCACCAACAATACAAAAAAAGAATAATAAACACCCTGAGCAACTGATGATCTGACAACATCTGACGCGTGAATTCTGTCCGCTATTGCATGTTAGGATAATTTATTCCTTACAGCTTCGTCTCTCATGGGGAAATAAAATAGAAATAGAAAGCCACTGAATGTTGACTTCCATTGCTTCTCAGATTCCACCCTTTGCTTTTACACTCATCATGAGGACTAGGAACTTCAGCAAAGAAAGATTTATTTCCTTTGGGGTTTGGAGGGCAGGACACGCCCAAGGGTGTGAGTCTACGTAACACACTGCTCTCCTTAGACGTGTCCAGCGCCATCTGTCCGTCAGATCCGTATTCTTTCCCAGATTGCAAGCTTGGGTCAGCAAACCTTGAATGCTGAATATCACCATATCAACCGGGCCGGTTCCCACCCAGTTTTGTGAACCTTCGCCCAACCTTGATGTTTCCGTACTTTGTGCCTTTACCAAAACTTGCCCAACCGGTTCAAAGCAGGAGGAGGAGGAGGAGGAGGAGGTGGGGAGGAAGTGTTTTCACTGGGTCGCTTAAGCAGAAAAATTCACTTTTAATTTTCAGGGTGTGGTAACAACCTAGGCAGCCGCTCCAGGGCTGAGCTGGAAGAGTCAAACTCTTCCTTGATCCTTTTTCTCCATCAGGCATTAAAGCAAACCATGCCTTGATGGGCTCATTGTCTACCTGTGGGGAGTCCACCCAACATAGCAGCTTTCAAAGGCGTCCGCCATTTTCACTAGCATTGATAAAAACAGAGGGGGGGGGAAAAAAACCTTTAAACAAACACACAAATAAAAAGGCCAAACTTTTGTGGATAGTTTTTTGGGTTGGGGATGGGTTCCCTCCTGTTCAGGATCATTTTTAAAAAATACCTTAAAAGGCAACTCTTTTTTACAGCTTTCGAATAACAAGAAAATCAAGAGTTCCTTTAAAAACTGTAACTATTCACAGTAACAAAATACTGAGAGGTGGCTTGTTGTAACTATTATTATTCGTACTGTAACTGCAGCTAACTACTTTTTAAATGGAACTTTCCAAGTGCTGTTTTTTTAACTCTCTAACACAGCCAGAGTTGGGAGAGTTCTTCTAAAAGGGTGGAATGTCAGCCCCATCCTCTTTAACAGCACAGCCCCCAGGATGATGGAGTTTGTAGTCTTAGAAATTAGAAGGCTGTTAGGCTGGGGAACTGTGCACTTAGGGTACATGTCTGTACAAATTAGAGAAAGAGAGAGACTAGGGCAAGTTGCTTTCTTGTTACTACAACCTCCATAATCCCCACCCAGAATTCTGGGAGATGTAGTCCACAAATGTTGTTGTTCTCATGTGCTGTCAAGTCACCTTTCATGTAGGGTGACGCTTTCTCCAAAACCTCTTGTCCTCCACGGCCCTGCTCAGCTCTTGCAAACTCAAATGTCGTGGTTTCCTTTAGGGAATCTGTCCCTCTCACATGGGGGGGGGTCTTCCTCCTTTCCTGCTGCCTTCCCGCCTCTCCCACCATTATCCCCAGTCCATAAATAAACTTCCTAAACTCTGATACACACAAGAGAAGGAGACAGACCTTAATTTAAGAGCCATTTTCAGCCACCGATTTGGTCCCTCATCTGTCCCCAGGCTAAATACGGAGGCGACCCGAAGGCGGGACAGGCCAAAACCGGCAGGTTGGCCGTCACTGTCCACTGGGCGCCAGATTTAGGGGCCGAAGGGCGAGGAGAGGAGGCCGATCCCGCGAAAGGAGGGAGCCGGGCCGGAAATTAAAACCTTGACTGTCTTTTTTTAAGGTCACTTTTTAAAATTACGGAGTCGTGGAGGGCTATTTTGAGGAGGGAAGTTGTGGTCCTGGAGTTTTCTCCTCCACAGCGGAGAGGTCACCGGATGGTCTGGGAGAGCTATAAATAGGAATTTTAAAAAGGAAAATAAGAGTGAAAACGTCACGGACCCAAAAACAGAAGACGTCCCTATTATCTTTCTTTATTTGGGCACTGAAAAAAAAAATCAAGATACGTCATAGATGGGACTCTGGCAGGCAGCGAGAGGGTTTTTAAAAATATAGGCCAGATGGTCAATTAAGTAAATGGAGGTTAAGTGTCTCGAGAAAGAAAGAAAACAAGAAAGGTAGGCAGGAGAAACCAGCTCGGGTCCAGCCTTAAAACGGAATACGTCAGGAATACGAGGCAGCAGAGAGAGGCCATGTGGGGCAAGGGTTCAAAGGGTGCCCCAGGACCCCGGTTCAAATCCTCCCTGACCCACAAAACTCACTGTATCGTCTTATTTATGTATCCAAAATCTTCTTACCCCGCCTTCCTCCTTGAAAAGGACGCAAGGCAGCTTACAACAATTAAAAGACCATTATTTCAAGTTGAAAACAATGAGGATCCATCAGTGGTTCACATCATTAAAAGATGATACATATTTAAAACTACAAATTATTAGTAAGGAGGGCCTCTTAAATGATTGATAGGCAATATTGAGGCAAATATCAGTAAGGATACAATTTTTTTAAAAAAATCACTCTGAGAAACGGAAAACACAAAAATGGAAAACACAAGTAGTACTAAAAATCCAGTCAAAGCAATAATGCATAATCATCTATCTAAAAATCACGCACAGGTAGCTGGTCTACTGAGGGAAGGCTTGCCAGAAGAGGAAGGTCTTCTTGGCCTGCTTGTGGAAGGAGAGCCAAGACGGGGCCAGGCTGGCCTCCAGTGGCAGGGAGGTCCAGAGTCTTAGAGCAGCAGATCTGACTCCTTGCAATAAGAACTGCAAAGATGGGGCCAAGCTGGCCTCCAGTGGCAGGGAGTTCCAGTCTTAGAGCAGCAGATCTGACTCCTTGAAATAAGAACTGCAAAGACGGGGCCAAGTTGGCTTCCTGTGGCAGGGAGTTCCAGAGTCTAAAGGAGCAGCCACTGAAAAGGCCCTCTTCTCCTGGGTCCCCACCATGGTGGTGGGACCGAGAGAAAGGCCTCCCCTAATGACCTCAACACCCAAACTGGCTCATCATGGGAGACAATGTAGGAGCTGTCGGCTTGCGGTGAAGAACATGCCAAGGCAAAATGTCCACCAGTTATAAAAGTAACTACGTACTTTGATGGGTACTGTTACAAAATAAGTTATGTAACTTTTGCTGCATTACAATTACAACACAACTTAGTTGTGCCTGAAGTTTGGCATAAAGGAATTAATTGCAAGTAACTTGTTATTTGTAAAGAGTCCCTTTTGAGCTGCGTCCTAGAGGATCTTTGGAATCGCACGAACATTTCCAACCACAGTCCCGTCAAATGACGCCAGGGCCTCGGAAATGACAACTCAGTGAAATGTGTTTCTGCAAAACAGGCTCAGACGTTTTTCTTCCGCTTTGTAGGAAAGAAAAAAAGGGGACATTTGGAGGGAAACCAATGGAAGATTATTAGATATTTGCATTAAAATTAAATTGCCCTGTTGGCCAGATTGCACACGTCGGCTGCCCAGTGCCCGACTCCAACCTCAAGGATAAGAAAACAGGAAACTCAAAGGTTAGACCCCCCCCCTTTCTCTCTCTCTCTCTCTCTCTCTCTGTCTCAATCTTGCAAGTGAAAGTCAGAGCATAAACAAAGTCTTTTTTTAAAAGTGGAGCAACTTTCTCTAGAGTTTCCAAAAAAACGAAACAAAACCCGAGACCGCCTGACCGGTAAAGGCAAGGCTGCCCACGTTACACAATCCAGGTGGAATGTCTTCCTTCCAAACCTGGCGGGCCAAGATCCTCGGAACGGCCAGGAGGTCATTCCGAAGGCGTCTCGACGCCAGATCTTAGAGTTTGTAGCGCAAAACGCGCTGCACGCCCGGACATGCACGCCTGTCCACCTTGCTACGGTATAAAATGTTCCCCCCACCACTTAGGAACAAGTTAAGAAATTCGGAATCCGGTTCCGCCACTCCTTCCTCCGTCTTTACGCCGATCCTTGTGGGTGGGTGGGGGGAAGAGGCAAGGAAGGGTCCCCGGGATGAAAAATGGCCATGGGTCTCAGCAGCCTCCAAGATCTTAAAAGCGGCTATAGTATAACATGGGACGAAAAATGGCTAGATTCCACGGGCGTTACACCTCGGTAAAGAGGCCATGGTATTTTTCTGCCCGAGAATGGGTCTTTCCTCCCACGTGAGAAAACTTCTTTACACAGGATGCTTCTTAATTGAAGCATCCACGATGATAAGGGGATGGTCCGTTTTTTGGAAGAGGCCCCCTGTCTTACCCGAGACCGATGGTCTCTTTCTCAAGGGGGCATTTCTTTCTGCCAAGTTGCCCAAAGAGGCATCATTTTTTGAAGGGAGAAGATTTCTCCCCTTCTAAAGGACAGATTCCCTTACCAACCAGAGACCGATCTTTAGTTCCCCTTTAGTTCCGGAAGAGGACCTTCATATTTCCCCCCCTTTTTTCCCCAGCGGCTCATGCCTTCGCTTTTTCCAAACATACTTAAAAAAAAAACAACACCAAAATCATTTGGATTTTTTGAAAAGAACACACCTGGATCAATCAGAAACACATTGAGGCGAATTTAAGGGATGTTTAAAATAAAAAAGCTATCATGATAGGCCCACTGGCTCTGAATAAAACAGACCGGAAACGGAAACCTCATTTTCAGGGGATGTTTTATATTTTTTCAAGTACAACCATCTACGTTTATTCAAAGTCAGCCCTGTCCTCTTCTTCTGGTTCCTGCACACTTAACATGGGGCTTATATTTGGGGTAGGGCTTCTATGATGAGCATCCTGCAAAATCATTCTAGGGCTTATTTTCAGGTAAGGTGTTATTTT